GGGTGGAGCCCTGTGCTCTGTCCAGAGGCAAAGCTGGGAGCCTGCTCTCTTCCCCCGCTGGACCTCACTGTCCCTGTCTGGAAGTTGGGGGTCAGGAGGGGGCTCCTGGGCCGGGCCGCGCGAGCCTCGTGGACAGCAGGTGTGAGGTCTGCAGGCCCTCCCGGGGGGGTCCTGTGCCAGCGCCGCTTCGGGACAGGGAACGGAAGTCCCTCTTAGTTGCGGGTCCTTGGTGTCACTGTCAGACACCCAGTGGGCAAAGAGATGAAGGAGGCTCCCCAGCTGGAGCGGGCAGGCGGTCTGCTCCCTCCCAGCCTGCCCCTTGCAGAACCCCAGAGCTCAGGGATCAGGCCACGGGTGGCAGGGCCGGCCGGGGCTGGCCTGGGGCCCCCTGACGCGCCCCCCCCCCCGGCCCCGGGTCCCACAGCGCCGCGGCATGAAGGGCAAGGCCCGCAAGCTCTTCTACAAGGCCATCGTGCGCGGCAAGGAGATGATCCGCATCGGGGACTGCGCCGTGTTCCTGTCGGCCGGCCGCCCCAACCTGCCCTACATCGGCCGCATCCAGAGCATGTGGGAGTCGTGGGGCAGCAACATGGTGGTCCGTGTCAAGTGGTTCTACCACCCCGAGGAGACCAGCCCGGGCAAGCGCCTCCACGAGGGCCAGGTGAGGCCAGGTGGTCAGAGCTTGAGGCCGGGGTGCCTGGCTCCGGGGTCGGGCGGGGCCGAGCCAGGCTCACCAGCCCCCCGTCTGTCCCACACGCAGCACTGGGACCAGAAGTCCGGCCGCAGCCTGCCCGCGGCCCTGCGGGCCTCCAGCCAGAGGAAGGACTTCATGGAGGTAGGGGCACGGGGTGGAGGCTGGGCCTCTCAGGCCCTCTGCACACAGCTCGGGGGCTGAGGCGGGGGCGAAGCTGGGCTCCAGTGGCGTCCGGCCCCTGACCCCAGCCCCATGTCTGGTTCTGATCTGCTGTCCGCCGCGCTTTGGGGTCCTTAGCCTTAGGGGTCTCTCTGTCTTGGTCTGTGTGTGTCTGTCTCGGGATCTCTCTTGGTCTCTGCGTCTCTGGTGTGGGGGTGGAGGGCTCTTTCTCCCTCTCTGCCCTCGGGGTTTTCCCTGGTCCTTCTGGTCCGGGAGAGGGCGCCCCCTCTCTCCCTGGGCCGCCTGCCCTGACGCCCGCCCGCCTGCCGTGCCCGCAGCGCGCCCTCTACCAGTCCTCCCACGTGGACGAGAACGACGTGCAGACCGTGTCGCACAAGTGCCTGGTGGTGGGCCTGGAGCAGTACGAGCAGATGCTCAAGACCAAGAAGTACCAGGACAGTGAGGGTCTGTACTACCTTGCGGGCACCTATGAGCCCACCACGGGCATGATCTTCTCCACCGACGGCGTGCCTGTGCTCTGCTGAGCGCCCCGAGGGCCAACGGGGGCCCCTCACCATCACTGCCACATCTCGGGGGCCACGTGCGTTGGTTGTGTGCATGCGAGTGTGCCCTTGGACGCCCCGGCGTGCGTGTGTACATGTGTGTGCCTGTATGCATGCACGTGCGTGCACGCATGTGCACACGTCCCCAGCCCCCTTCCCAAAGCCCCCGGGTGCCCCTCCAGACGGGGCTCCTCTCAGCTATCAGGGTATGGCTCTGCTGGGCCCCCTTCCGGGGCCTCCCCTCCAGCACCTTGTAAGCACTCGGCCGGGCTGGGCCCCCAGGACCCAGGCGCCTCCAGGCCGAGGCCGAGGCCCACGGGGGATTCAGTGGGGAGAGGGTTCCCCAGGAACCAAACTGACACTCGCTCGGGGGTTTCCGCTGCTTGAGGGCCCTCCCCGGGGCTTCTAGTGCCCGACCCCCCTCAGCACGGAGCCCCACCCCAAGCCTCCCGCCATGAGACGGGGCGGGGTGGCCGGATGCCCACCAGCCTCACCAACCGGGCCAGGCCTGCTCTGGGCACCGGCCAGGGGCCCGGCCTCTCCCCTCTTCAGGATGGCCTGGACTCGGGCACGAGAGCCAGGTGAGGGTGGAGCCCGGCAGCATCGGCCAGGTGCCAGGCAGGGGGGGGCTGCTGGCCCTGAGGCCCCAGGGAGGGCCCACCCCTCCCGGTCCAGCCCCGTACACTACACACAACCCGAATGGTGCTGAAGTCCTTGACCCGGCCACGCCCGGCCCCCTCCTGCCCAGGCCTCGGCCAGCCCGGAGGGAGCGGCAGTTCTCATAACCTGTACAGTTTTATTGTACCGAGAGACTCTCCCCGCCCCTGTATCATATGCCTTTAAATGGAGTCAACTTTTTAATTATATATATAAAGATAAATATATATAAATATATATAAATATAAACTTTTTAAAACTGTGAAAAAATAGCTATTGAAATTATAAAAAAAAAAGCGAACACATTCTGACGTGCAGAATATTATTTTTTATTTCCTATTAGATTGTGAGTGTCTAGCACCCAGCTTCACGGGCCCCCCTCATCCCGAGCACACCCCGCCCCTCAGCCCCCCACCCCGGCCCAAGTGTACTGTACTCGCCCCCAGAACGGAGAAGCAGTTAGGGAGAGCAGAGGCTGAGGAGGGGGGGAGGGGGCCGGCCGGGCGCAGTGGCCCCCGCCCCCCCCCCCGGCTCAGCCCCGAGAGCACTTACCAGCCCCCGCGCCTTCCAGGGGGACGGGAGGCCTCGTCCAGACAATCTTAAGGGAAGGAAAAGCCAGACTTTGGTTTTGTTTTTTGGGGGAATTACTGTTTTCCTTTTTTTTTTTTTTTTTAAGTTTCTTTTGAAATTTTGTTTGTTGGCGAATTCTGTGTGATCTTTTTCATAAAAAAAGAAAAGAAAAGAGAAAAAGCTATAATCGGAGAACTGCCGTTGTCTGGAGTGGTTCATTTCAAGGGGTGCGTGGTGCTGGGCAGCGGCTGGGGGGGGGCCAGGAGTGGGGCGCGCCTCACCGCTGGGCTGTTTACACCCGGGTTAATGTAAATGAAGGGAAATGAAGAGTTCCTCGGTGGCCCCGGCCACGTCCCCAGGGGCCAACAACCAGAAGTGGCCAGTGGCTACTGTGTTGGGTGGCTGAGATACGGGATGTGTCCCTTGGTGCCGAAAGTGTTCTTGACCTGTGCGAGGCTGGAGGGCTTGCACCCCGTCTCCCCTTGAAAATGCAGAGATCGGCACTCCCAGCCATGCCCACATCTGAAGACCACAAGAACAAGGCCGGTGCCGGTGGTCTGAGCAGTCCTGGGCAGGTGTGGGGACTTAGGGCTGCACCCCCTGCTGCCGCCCCCCTCCTGCCGCCCCCCTCTTGCCCTGAGGTCAGCTCTCAGGCTGACCCCACAGGTACCTGCCCAGAGACCCACCAGGGGAAGGACCCTGATGGGCCTCCTGTTTCAGAGAAACTGAGTCACGCGACAGCCGACGGCCACTCCCACCTGCAGGAGCAGTGCCCCGGCGCCACCTGGTGGCCCCTGTGGTATCGCCTCAAAGTCTTGGCTCCCATGGCTGCTGGGGCACCCACCTGGGGGTCTGGGGGTGATGCCTGCCCAGTGGGTCCTGATGGGTGGGTCCCCGAGGCCACAGGCCTGGAACGCAGCCCTTCTGATGGCCAGCCCCCCTCCCCAACCCTTCTCCAAGGGACCCACATCAGAGTGGACGAACACCCCTGCTTGGGGAAACTAAGGCGCGAATCCGTACAGGAAGTTGTTCATATCACATGAATCAACAGCACAGCCAGGACTTGAACCCAGAACCCTCAGCCTCAGGTCCTGTCTCCGTCCCTGCGGGCAGGGGGCAAGCTCCCTCCCCTCTGTCTTTCTCTCCGTTCAAATGGATGGGATGCAGCCCTTTTCCCTGACCTGAGGGCCGGAGGAGCACCAAGGTGCCTTTCACACCCCCCGCCCCATGCTTCCAGCTCCCACGCCCAGTTCGCCCCCTACCAGGTTCACGGGGAACCTCCCACTACGGGACTGGTTCACCCTTGCCCACCCCCCTAGGAACTTCAGGCCGCTTTACAGATGAAAGACTGAGGTCCCAGCCATGCGGGTGGCCCCGCCCTGCCAGGACCCCTTCCCCCACCAGCAGTGAGCAAGGTGCCGGGGGCGGCCCCAGCCCGCACAGACGCTACTTGGAGGCAGCAGCTGGGCAGTTCTCTGCCTTCATCTTTTAATGGCCAGTGCGGTACAGTTAGTGGACAGACCGGGGCGGGGGGGGGGCGGGACAGGACACAGAGGGGCGGGGTGGTCACGGGTGTGCCATGGGTCTGGCAGGGCAGGCTGTCCTCCCCCTGGAAGAGCCTGTCTTTGGCAAGATGCTGCAGAATCCCCTCAGTTCGAGGGTCCCGGCTGGGGACGTCCCTCCTTGGGCCTCACTGGATGAGGATCAAGGTCTCAGTCAAGCAGTGACTTCAGCCAGGGTGTGTCCCCTTGTGGTATCACAGACGGAGGAGCCAGAGACGTGGACAGGGGTCCCCGGGCAGGTGCAGACCCCCAGGCCTGTGGTGTCAGGTGGGTGCCCGGGTACTTGGCGGGGTCTCGGGGTGGGGGTGGGGGCTCCCAGGCTGGCGCCGAAGCTGTGGTCGTAGACCATGGTCTGAGGCCATTCAGACCCCGCGCTACTGTTCCTTCGTGGCATTTTGTTTGGGAGAATCAGGGTTTAGGAACCGGGGGCGGGGAGAGGCTCCCTCCTTGAGGACCTCTTATGTCCGTGAGGAGGGCTCCGTGGTGGAGAAGGGCTCCGTGGTGGAGGAGGGCTGGGGTCGGGGGCCGCGGGTGGGGGTGGTCCGCTCTCCTGGCCGGGGAGGGCTGTGACCCCGGGGGCCACCGCACACAGGGGGTGAAGGGCAGGCGCGGGACAGAACGGGGAGCACAGTGCTGGGCGGCCCCAGGTGGCCGACGGCTCAGCAGAACCCTGGGGCCGGAGTGACGGGGGGGCGTGACTGGCACGGGGAGGCAGCCGGGGCCCCACAGGCACTGCAGGCAGGGGCGGGGGGTGGGGCCTCGGGCCTCGGGGAGCAGGGGGGAGGCGGGCCTGGTTCAGAGGCCGGTGGGGAAGGAGGAGTTGGTGGAGGTGTGGAAACAGCTGCTGGGAGCGTCCCGGGTGAGGCTGTAGGTGCAGTAGGCCACGGCGGAGCCCAGCGTCAGCCCCGTCATGTAGGACACGGTCATGGTGTTGCCTGCAGGCGACACTGGACCTGAGGCAGTGGGCAGGGCAGGGCAGGGCGGCAGGGGGCGCTCAGAGGATCACCCCGGTGGCCTTGACACCGGGCCGGAGTCCCAGCCGTGGCTCCTTGGGCATGGAGCAGTGACCACGGCCCGCCCCCGGGGAGGCGGCCATCCGGGGACCGTCACGCCCGGGGTGAACTCATGGGGTGCCCCAGGCCTTGCCTGCTTCTCTGTCTCCTGCCCCCCATCTCCACGTGCTTCCTTGTCATGGACAATCCGGGACGTCTAAGGGCTTCTCGTGTGCCCAGAACACACTCCAGCGCCCCGTCCCCCACCCACCCTCCATCTCAGTGGACGGTGATCTTGGGACAGCCCTAACCCGGGGACTCCTTCTCGACCCCCGATCCCTGTCTCACACCTGGTCTCTCAATCCACCCGCCGGCCCTGTGGGCTCCACCATCAAACAAACATTCGGGTCCTGCCCCTCCTCGGGCCTCCCACCCCTACCCTGGAACCCACCCCCACCCCCCCACTTCTCCCACCGCGGGCTCTGCCCTGGGCTTTCTTGAGGGCTATTCCCTTGCATTGCCCTGTGGCTGGCTCCTTCACCACTTCCTCTAGGTCTCTGCTCAGAAGTCACCTCCTCAGGGAGGCCTTCCCAGACTGTCCCGTTTACATTTCAAACTCCCCATCCCAACGACCCCATCCCATTTCTCTGCTTGGTTTTTCTCTGTCATACTTACCACCACTCAACGCGTTACACGACCCCACAAGCACAGGGATCATTGCCCCATGTCCCTGGTGCCTACAGAACAGGGCCTGGCACGCAGTCGGGGCTCACCAAGCAGTTGTGCGATGCATGAAGCAATAAGGGACTGATGAACGTCCCGCCCCTATGAGCTCCCTGAGGCTGACCTGACTCTGCAACCCAGACGCACCTGTTGGCTACGTGGCCGCGGTTTTTGTGGGCCTCGACTTCCCTGCTGGGCAGCAGGGTGCTGCTGGGCCTTACCTGCCAGCTCGCGTTGCTTGGGGCTCACTTTGCCCGCCGCCAGGATCATGGGCACGCTGCCAAAGTAGCCGTTGCTGATGCCCATGAGCAGAGAGAAGACGCAGGGCCAGGCCGGGTGGCGCAGGGCGGGCGTGCCGCTGGGGTAGACGCACAGGATGAATAGGGGGATGAAGACCACGCGCAGGCAGGAGCAGGCCAGCAGGTGGGTGCCCCGCCAGTCCACGGGCAGAGCCGCCAGGATCTGGGGGGAGCCGGGCACGTTGGCTCCCCGTCTCTCCCGAGCCCACCGCCCCTCCAGTCTCTACTGCAGCCCCGTCCCCAGACGCTCCCAGCTCCGGGTGTGTCCCTGTCCTTTGTCGGCTTTGACCAGTAAATCCACCAAATCCCTGTGACAGCAACACACGGTGCTTTGCTGCGTGCCTGGCGTCCATCTAAACACGGCATGGGACCCCCCCCTCCCCCGTTCAATCCTCACCGCACCCTCCCGGGATGGGCTCCTGACCCTGCTTGAGAAATGAGGCCCTCGAAGCCGCGAGGGTCAGGTCCACCTGCAACAGTTCTGGAAGCCAGAAGTAGCAGGACTAGGTAGGAGTCGAGCCCACTAATTAAGCCTTGCTCCCTCGTGAACCAGACTTGTTTCTCAGACCGCTCTGCTGTGTGACCTCGGGCAAAGAGCTTTCCCTCTCTGAGCCTCACAATTCTTCGTTCATCTGAAGAAGGCCCATGTCAGGCCTGCCCCAGAGACGGCAGCCTTGATCTTACTCCAGCCGGGACCCCTAACCCTGCGCTCGTAGCTCAGGGCCCTCTGCCCACGTTCTTCTGGCCCCTTTGAGGTGCCTGCTCCCTGGGAGTACTTCTTGTGCTGTCTGGGGAGACCTGCCCCAGGGACCCGTTAGCTACGGAGCAGACACAAAGAGGGTGCTGGCGCCGGCCCTGTGGGAACGGCTGACAGTTGCGACTGCCCTGCCCTGCGGGGTCGCTGGGGCCGTCCGCGGGGGTGTGGGGGACACACGTGGTCTGGGATGGCGCCGTGGCTCGGCTGCCCCCCCCTCCCCACTGGTGTCCTCAGCTCAGGGCCTGCCCCTCCCCAAGCCCCTCCTCAGGACTCCTGAAGGCCCCCGCGCCCCCCGCGGTGCCCTCTCTTCCCCCAGGGGCCGGGGAGGGGCTGCAGGCCTGCCTTGCCCACGAAGTCGGAGAGGTTGAACACGGCCATGATGAGGATGGGCAGCCACTCGCCCAGGACGCAGTGGCGGACCTCGGACTCGAGACCCGGGAACAGGCACAGCGTGATGAAGTAGGTCACGGCGATGGAGAGCATGTCGGCCCAGATGGCGCGGGCCACAGCGTAGCGGTGCAGCAGCAGGGCTGTGGGCGGAGGGCCAGGGGTCAGGGGTCAGCGCCTGCGTGGGCCCCCTGGGGCAGGGGCGCCACCGGCAATGCCCAGAGGACCGCCCTGCCTGCCGCATCCCCCACCCCCACCTCTGAAGGAGGGCCAGCTCCGCGTCACTCTAGGCTGAGGCACGTCAAAGCGCGTGTAGGCGCCCCCACCGCCGCCGGTCACCTCGTGGGCTGGGCTGTCCTTTGGGGACCCGCCGTTGGCCAGGCCTGGGCCTTGGTGCTCCTGGAGGGAGGACGGGGCCGGTCGGGTGTGGGTGGGGAGGGGCCCTCCAGGCTCCCGGCCTGCCCTCCTATCCCCCACGGCCCCTGAAACACAGCTCCCTCCAGCCCCCGTGGCTTTGCACTTGCTTTTCCCTGGACCCCAATGCCCTTCCTGTGGACCTTCACATCTCCCGTCCACAGGGGTCAGGTTTCCACCCAGAGGCCGCTTCTCCCGGAACCTCCCTGACCACTGAGGAGCCCCGTCCCCACTGCGGGCCTTGTCCCAGCACTGTGACACGGCATGTCACTGGGCGGCCCCTCTCCGCATCTCGGGCTCACGGCAGGGTTTCCCCAGCAGAGCCCGGGGGACTCTCTGGGTCCTGTCTGCGAGGACTTCGCTGCTGAGGACACCAAGGGGCGCAGGGGGCTCCTCCCGCCTGGGCCCCCGGGGTCATCCCTCAGGCTCCAGGGGCCGCCCCACCCGCCACGCTGTCCCTCCGGGGCTGTGCAGCCCCGCTGCCACCAGAGGGCGCCCCGCCCCCCAGGATGGCTCTGGCCGGCCTGCAGGGCCTCAAGCCACACACGCGGAGGGAAGAGCCTGGGTCCACAGATGATAGGGGGGCCCGCGGGAAGGAGCCCCAGACCACGGCGTGACGGAGGCCACGGCCGGAGGAGCCTGGCCGGGACCTGGCAGTGGCAGCGCGCGGCAGACTCACAAAGTGGATGTCCCCCGCGGCGACGTCGTGGTGCACGCGGTAGCCGGCTCTGCAGCCCGGACGGCTGTCGCGGGGCCGCGCGGTGTGGGAGAGCACGAAGCGGCTGCGCCGCACCAGCAGGTGCAGCAGGAAGCAGAGCAGCTCCAGGCCCGCGGACACCAGGAAGAAGATGAGCGTGCTGGCCCGCTCGTCCGGCAGCAGCAGCTTGGTGAGGATGCGGCTCAGGGACACCATCACGCCCGCCGTGCCTGGAGTGGGTCGGGTGCCGTGCTGGGCCTGGGCCCCAGCCCCCACTCAGCGCCCCCCAGCCCTTCCCCGCCCCGGTCCCGCCCCTGCCCCGCCCCCGGCCAGGCCTGCCGCCCCAGCCCCGCCCCTACTCCGCCCCCCGCCAGGCCTGCCCCCAGCCCCGCACCTGCCCCGACCCAGGCCTGGTCTCCCCCAGCCCCGCACCTGCCCCGACCCAGGCCTGGTCTGCCCGCAGCCCCCCCCCTGCCCCAGCCCAGGCCCGAACCCCATACAGGCAGGGAGCCCCCCCCAGAATGTGCCTGCTCAGAATGTGCCTTTCCAGGCACTGCTGTCTGCTCATACACACACCCGCGGAGCATTTATACAGCACCTGCTGTGTCCCCCCCGCCATCCCGCCCTGAGGACACAGTAGGAACAGAGAGGACACAGGCCCTGCCTTCCCACAGCTCGGTGCGGGAACTGCAAACAAGTCACACCCCCCCGCCAAAAATGCGCAGGATAGGGGGGCAGGCAGGGGCTCAGGCCCCCCCGCTTGTCCAGGAGCCGGCAGCTGACAGGAGGTGTGGGTGTGCCCCCCCGATCACGAGGGAGGGCAGGGAGGGCGGTGGGGTCATGTCAGCCCCCCCGTGGGTGTGGGGTGTGACCATGAGCCCCTGGGCAGCGCAGCCCCCCCCCTCATCTCCTGACGAAACACACAGAAGCCATCCACCTGCCCCCCCCCCTCCTGGGACCAAACCCCACAGACCTAAGGCTTGGAGCCCTGGGGACATCTGGCCGCCTCCCCACATGGTAGAGGAGCAGAATATCCTGACCCCCCCAACTGGGCCCAGCTTCCTGCCTGGACCACACTGTGGACCCCCCCCCCCCCAGGCACGGAAGGAAGACTGAGAACATCTGGAGGAAGGTGCTTCAAAGGGGACCTGATATGTGGGCGGGGGCAGCAGGGCCAGAGGGGCCCCCCCCTACCTGGACGTGGGCTGGAGTGCAGGGATCAGCCTGGAGGCCCCCCCGGAGGGTGCTGGGTAAGTTTCAGGTTTGGGGGTGCCATTCGCTGAGCAGGGGCAGGTGGACAGAACAGGTGGGTTTGGGAAAGTGGGTCCCCCCCCCCAAGTGGGGGTGCAGGGCAGAGGTTAGCGCGTGGGTCTGGGGCTCTGAGGACAGGCTCACCCCCACGCACACACACGCAGACTCACAACCCCCCCAGCCGCACGAGCACTCCAAGTCCCTCTAGACCCCCGCTTCTCCCCCCCCAAAGGTCTGCACCCTCGTACAAACGTGCACACATCACAGCCCCCCCCTTCCCGCCTGGAGTCCCTGCCCCCCACCCGCCAGGTGGGGGGACACGGCGGTCACCGTCCCCAGCCCAGTGCGTGGCCCCTCGCTGGGGCCCCCCCCTGGGGGGCTGCAGATACTCACTCTCCCCGGTCATCACGCCCCCCCCCTATCTCTTGGGCAGCATCCCCGTGTACCCATAGAAGCTGGATTGCTGCACTTGGGGGGAGAGACAGAGGAGTAACCGTGAGATGCCACCCCCCCCCGGTGGCGGAGGGATTGGGTCCACCCACCCTGCCCACCAAACAGCATGTGCCAGGGGCCAGGCTCTGTGACTAGTTCTGGCCAATGAAATCCCCCCCGAAACAACATGCATACTTCTGGCTGAGGTGGAGAGAAGCCCCCCCCCCCTTCTGGGGTTTCCCAGTGGCAGTGACCGAAAGGGCCCCGTCCCCCCCACGGGGACCGCTGCGGCCTGGCTCCCAGTGACAGTGTGGAGCATCGCCTCCGGCCTTGTGTTGGACACGCATCGAGAGCCAGAAATAGTGGCTTCAGTTCTATGAAGCCACTGAGATTTCCGGGCCCCTGGTTACCAGAGCCTCCCTGCTCTCATCCTAACCAACATGGGCAGAAATTCAGCAGGATCCAGGGCGGGGAAGATGCCCGGGCTCAGACCCTGCAGGTTAGCGAATCTGTGGCCTACACGGACACCCCGGGGCAGTCACACTAGGAAAACTAGCCCCCCCTGCTCCTTCCCGGCATTTGCTTTTTAACAAAATAGAACAGACCCCCCCAGGCCTGAGGACACTATTTCCCAGAGCCCTGATTTCACAGACCCCCCCACACGCTCACGCAAATGTGTTCACTGGCTCATGGCGTGCCACCCCCCCCTTTCCGCTCAAAAAGAGTGTGAAAAAGTACAAAGCAACCGCCCCCCCCCTTTCCAAACGTCGCTGCCACGGAAGAGGAAAGCTGAGGACCACGCGGGACTAAAGGGGATTAAAGATGTGACATCGGACGCAGGGCATGATCCAGGATCGGATCCTGCGTCAGGAACAGAACGCTATAAAGGACGTTATTGAGGCGACCGGTGAAGTGTGGACACGGGTCACAGAGAACAGCGCTGTGCGGTGTTACACCTCCTGACTCGGGCAGCCGTATCACGGCGATAGAAGAAATGTCCTGCCTTCTAGAAAATACACCCTCGAACCCAAATGGTCCCCCCCGAAAACACAGACTATTTTATATTTACACGTATTCAGGGGCACCCCCCCTACATATCTACACGGGGGACAGAGAGAAAGCCTATGTGACACCCCCCCAGCCATCGGCGAGCCGACGTGAAGGGTCTATGGGAGTTCCTCCCCCCCGTCCTGTAAGCTTTCTATGGGTTTGAAATAGTTTCAAAATACCCCCCCAAAAAGATAACTTAGAAAGCCACGGCCCAAGAGAAACACGGCCCCCCCGGCAGGATGGTTCCTGAAGCGCAGTTTGTGCCTGGGACAACCACGGGACTCCTCAACGCCCACACGGCATGCAGTGGGTGTGCGGACGTCCCCCCCGTGTGTGCTCAGTGCGCACGGGCCCTGTGGATGTGCGGTGTCCCCCCCCGGGTGGTGTGCAAGTGCGGTGCGGTGCGCAGGCACGTTTTCCCCCCCGATGTGCCGGTGGATGCAGGAGGCCCTGGGGTTGTGCACTCCCCCCCCGCGAGCGTGCGTGGGGGGTGCGCAGGTGGCTACGTCCTGGCACCGAGCCCTCGTCGCCCCGTGTGGGGTGCCCCCAGCAGGCGGCGGGACTGCGGTGGGACGGCCCGCACTGGGTACTCACCCAGAGGCTCGGCGCCAGCCCCCCAGCCCTGTCCGCACCCTGGCTCAGGTTCCTACCTGTGCAGCCCCCCCCCACAGTGCCTACAGCGGCCAGGTTGATGGCGTAAGCCTGGCCCCCCCAGAAGAGCTGTAGCCAGACGTCACAGATGCTGATAAAGAGGCCCCCCCCCAAGGCCAAGAGGTAGCCTGGTGGGGGGGCAGAGAGGTGGCCCCCCCGGAGTGGGCCGGGGGCTCCCCGCATCCTACCCTTCCTGTAGAGCCCGGTCAGAGGTGCCCTCTCTGTCTGCCTTTCTTCTAATACTGGGCCCCCCCGGGACACTTTGGAAGTGCCTGGAAGGCTTCCTGGAGGAGGCCCCCCCCGAGCCGGGCCTTGAAACTGGATGTTGTCATGCAGACGAAAGCCCCCCCGAGCAGACGGGGCCCCAGGACACAATGTGGGGGTGCACAAACCCCCCCACCCTATTTTCGCACACGGAACCCTGTAACGTTCCTAGGAGCCCCCCCCATCCTACACATGGGGAGACTGAGGCGCCGGGAGCCTGGGGCCCCCCCTGGCAGGCCAGGTGTGTGGGCAGCATACCCGCGGTGATCCTCCCCCCCAGGCTCAGTCTCTCCACCAGCGCGTTGTTCAGGAGCACGGCCCCCCCCGCCACCAGGATGTAGGTGAGGCTCATGTCGAACACGATGGACCCCCCCGCGGGGGGGCCGGCAGCAGGCGCTCGGGGGGGGGCCCCCTCCCCCCCCCCACCCCCGCCGGGTGCTGCTTCCTCGCCCCGCCCCAAAGCCCCCCCCCCTCGGCGACTGGCAGCTGAGCGAGGCTGCGGATAACATGGCCCCCCCGAGCGGAGTTTCGGGAGGGTGGCGGCCAGCCTGTGGCGGTGCCCCCCCCGCGGGGGACCCACCTGGGTACTTGTGGTGCAGATAGTCCACCCCCCCGATGAAGCTGTTGTATGGGAGCAGGAAGCCCACGCCGGCCACCCCCCCCGCAAAGTAGATGGCGTGGTAGCGGTCATCGGGCACCGGCTCCCCCCCCGCTGAGCCCAGAGGCAGCAGGTAAGAAAGGGACAGACCCCTTGAAGCCACGGCCACTGTGCCAGGACCAGAGTCTAGCATAGCACTGCCCCCCCCATAACCACCACGGTCACTGCCACCCTATCCACCGGCATCGCCCCCCCCACCCCCCTTCACGGCCAGAGCTGTCATGGCCACCACCCACGGCCATCGCCATCACGGCCAGAGGGCAGCTGGCTTCACGGAACCGCGGAAGGGCCGTTGGAAGACTCAGCCGAGGCAAAACGCTGGGGAGGCTGCCCATGCTCTAAGGGGCTGAGCTCCCCCTATCAGCACTCCTGTGGCCAGGGCCCCCCCGACGTGGGACCAGACCCTACGACCTTCAGAGACCCACCAGCAACGCGGCTGCTGGCCCAAAGGCAGGGTCCAGGTTCCCAAGGGAGAAACCCCCCCACCCGGACACACGACCGTCCCATTGACCGGGAAGCAAGACGGCCACTGGCCACGTTGGGCTCCTCCTGAATCAACAGGCCGAGAAGACGCCCCCCCTCCTGGCTGGGGCGGTTCACCCTGACTATCAGGGATGGGACCCCCCCCGACTATGCCTGCAATGCAAGAGGCTCTTCACGGCATCTCCTCCCCCCCTCACTCCCTGGGGCTGAAGTCAACGGAAAACGGAAACGATCCGATTTTAACCTTTAGAAATGAAGGTTTGGGTCACTCCACCGGGCAAACCCCCCCGACCAGCTGAGTAGCTGAGGGCAAAAGGCGAGGACTAAGCAGCGGAGAAAGGTAGTTATAAACACCAGCCACGGCCATGTGACCCCTTCCCCCCCCAAGAAGGCCCGTTTTTGTGGGTATTTATCCTTTACCTCGATCCCCCCCTGTTTGTGTATGTGTATTAACACAAAGCTTGGGTTTTGTCCACTTTCTCACCTCACCGCCTAACAGAGGTTGCATCTGTGTTAAATCTCAGGGTTTAAATCATGGGCTGTCAGAGGAGAGGTGCGACCGAGGTACGCCCCCCCCTGCATCTTCCGGGGAAAGCATCAGCGTGTTTTTGGTTGTACCCCCCCCAGCTGTGTTGTGCCAGGCAGCGGCATGACTCTGTCAGTGTCCCCCCCCGGAGATTAAGTGTGGTTATGGAGCTGTGTTTGGGAGCCAAGCAGGGCGAGGGGTGGACTGTGATGGGTCAGTTTTACGGGTCCACTTGGCCCCCCCAACTAATCCCTTGTTGTTCAATCAGACACTGACCGAGCTGCCCCCCCCAAGGAATTTTGTGGATTAAAGTTCCTCCTCGGTGGCCTCTACCCCCCCCAAAGGAAATTGCCCTGGGTGGGCCTGACCTAATCAGGCAAGACATTTAGGTCTTCCCAGAGCTGAGACCCTAAACAGCGCAGGACTTCAGACTTCCTTATGGACTTCAGACCACCTTAGCCAGGCTCCGCTGTAGTCCCCCCCGTTCTGAAATAAATCCATATGTGTGTATATATATATCTACACCCCCCCCATATCAACAACACTGTCTACCATCTGTCTATGTTATCTTCCCCCCCCCTCTGTTTCTTGGCTGAACCCTGAGTGACTCAGCCACCGTCCCCCCCCCCACTATAGTTAAAACCACCATTGCCATGGCCACCATCCACCCCCCCCGCCACGGCTGCCAGGGCCACATGCTATCTCGTGCCACGCCTGGCCAGGGGATGCCTGGCACCTTGGGGATGGGCCCAGAGCTGGCTCTGCCTAGACACGGGGGAGCAACCCACTGCAGGGCTTGGCCAGCAGGACTTCCCCCCCCCACGTGCAGAGACAGGGGGCGGAACCAGAGAATAAGCCTCCCCCCCCCTGAGGCTGGAGCGGTGCTAGCATAAACTACAGCCACCCCAAAATGAGCTATCACAGGGGGCCTCCTGAGCGCAGGCACAGCCCTAAGCCATGTTTTGGGGCTTTCGCTGCAGCCACATTGAGTGTGGCTCCTGGACCGTTCCCTTTTCACAGAGGACATAACCAAAGCCCAGACAATGGTAACTCCCCCCCGGTCCCCAAGCTGGCAGAGGGATGGGGCTGAACTCAAACCTCCCCCCCGTCAGCCGCGCACGCAGCCCTCAACCCAGCAAGTCTGGCCGCCCCCCCGACTGGCCATTTCCTCGAGGTGAGGGGACCAAGGCTTAGAGAGGTTTAGGCCCTTGTCCAAGGTCACACAGCCAGGACAAAAATCAAGTCCCCCCCCCTCACATCGCTCCTCCCTTTCAGGGACTTGCCCATCTCCACCCCCCCGAGGCCAGCGAAGGTGACCAAAGCGACAACAGGTCACCTCCCCCCCCCAGCTCTATGGGGCAGCGCATGATTCCCCGGGCGCCCTCCCACCTGCCCGGTGGACCAGATGAGGCTCCGTGACCCGCCCCGGACACATGCCCCCCCCGTGGGGTCCCTGAGACAGCGGCTTGATCGTCCCCACGGCACCCCCCCCCTGACGGACGCAGCGCCCCGCACTCGGGGACCACCGAAGGCTCCCCGAGGGTTCCCACGGCCCATCCCTGCTCGGTGCCGGACACGCACCCCCCCCCTGCCCCACCCCCCCCGACTCACCAGAGTCCGTGAAACCCCCCCCCCCCCCGGCCGCGCTGCCCTGGCCCTGAGCCGTCCCCGCCGCCCCCCCCCCGAGCCGGCAGCCGTCGAAGCTGAAGCTCATCACCACGCTGCCCCCCCGCGTGCCCGCCGCGCTGGGCTCCTTGAGGCGCTGGCTGCCCCCCCCCCCCATGGTAGCCCGTGCTGCGGAGAGAGGAGAGGAGGCGGGCCCCCCCCGCGCGGGGGCGGGGGGGGGGCCCTGGCCACCGCCACGGTCCCCCCCCCTTTGCAACTGACTTTATGGGACGGTGTGTGCGCTCGCGCTGCCCCCCCGGTCCCACGCACCATTTCCCTCTGGGAGGAGGAGCCTGGACCCCCCCCCTTTACTGCCAGGGAGGCCACGCAAGCCTCTTAGAGGGTGCCACCCCCCCAACCCCCGTCTCACTGACAGTAAGGGGGGCCGTCCCAACCCAAACCCAGGCCCGTGGGACACTCCGAAGCACTGCGGCCCTCCATTCTGGGGCCCACCACCTTCCGGGCCAGGAAGTCCTTCCTTTGGTCTTGCCCCCCCCCCTCTTGCTTCAATTCAAATCTACTACCTTTACCTTTAAAAGCCCCCCCGAAGCTAATTTATCCGTGATGGAGAGACCCCCCCACTGTGACCCCCCCATGGGGGAGTCTTGTTTTTTTTTTCCTGAAAGGGTTTTCCACCCCCCCTTTTTCTTTCCTTTTTTTTTAAGATTCTATTTTTTAAAAAGCCCCCCCTACGCCCAGCGGGGGGGCTCGAGCTCACAACCCTGAGATCGCCCCCCCCAGCAACTGAGCCAGTCAGGCGCCCCATCAATTTGTTTTTCCCCCCCCTTTTATTCATTTATCTCATTGCAGCTCCTCGAGGAGAATCTCCCCCCCAGGCAGGACACTAGAGCATCGGGCACTGGGCATGGCACCTACCCCCCCCCATCATGAGCTTATGCGGGAGCCCACGGAAGAGGCCAGGAGAAGGCCCACTTCCCAAGGGATCCCATGTGCTCAGGACTACTCCAGTCGTCTCTTGTGGCCGGCCTGTCACCACCCCTCCACCTCCGCCTGCTCATCCCCCCCCTCATTTCCTCCCGCTGTCCTGCCTCAGTTTACCCGCTCCCCCCCCCCAGATCTGATGCGCTGTTACCGAGCACCTCCTGCTGGCCCCGCCCCCCCACCTTTCCTACTCTGCACAGAGTTTTTACTGGCGCATTGGACCCCCCCGCCGTCCTGCTTCGAGGCCGCCCCGGTCCCCTCCCGCAAGCATGGAGAACAGGGTCGGGGGTTCTCTGTCTGGGGGCTGGGAAGCTGGCGTAACCCCCCTGCAGGCTCAGTGCCTTTCCTGAGTGTCCCCCAGCCTGGGCCTCCTGCCACATCTGGAGCTGGGGGTCCCAAGTGGGATTTAGGACCCCCCCCGTTTGAATGACCGTGGCCTCGCTTGGTGGCCTTGGGCAGGATCCCACACAGGAGGCTCAGAGACCCCGGGCCCTGCCCTCCCGGCCTCCCCCCCCCCAGATAGGAAGGCTGGGGAAGGAGCCCGCCGCAGAGCAGTGCCCCCCCACAATGGGACGTTCCTCCCTGCAATCCACTCCAGCCCAGGCCTGGAGGACGCCCGAACCTCGAACCCCTGACCGGTCTTCTGCAAAGCTCCCCCCCATGCAGTGCCTTGGCCACGCCTGGCTGTGCCACCCGGGAAGCCCCCCCTGCTCAGCATTGAGCCAGGAGGCGGCCCCACTGCTCCCTCTCCCCCCCCGGTGAGGCAGGCAGGTACCACCCACAATGCCAGCCCCGCTGCTGTCCCCACGTGCTGCTCCAGGGCCCTCCTGCGGGCAGGGGGCTCTGGCTTCCCCTGCGGCAGCCCCAGGCCCCTAGGCATGACCTCACTGGTGCCCCCCCTGGGGGGTGCATAAGGTGGCTCGTCTCCACCTCTCCTGGCCCCCCCCCACTCGTTCCTCCCCAGACCCCTCAGACTCCACACCAACAACCCCCCCCCTCAGATCGCCCGCCAGCCCATTCCTCCTCCTCTCATGTTCCCCCCCCGTTAAAATCTTAAGGACATGCACATGAGTTTAAAAAAATCCCCCCCCCCACGGGCTCCCCCAACCCTGCCAGGACCCCTCAATGTCCACCCCCCCCGAGTAGCTGAGAAGACACAGTTCATGTCTTTGGCCAACAGATCACCAGTCACTGCCTCAGTGGGCCACACCTGGGCCTCAGTTTCCCTACCTCTCTGTTGTGGACAAGGAGGGTGAGAAAGTACTTCACAAATCGGGCCCCCCCGTGGCTGGGTGGCCAGAGGCTTGGCTGCACACAGGAGGTGCTCAGAAGTCACACAAGACGCTGCTTCGGGGCACTGCTGTGGGCCTGAGCCCCCCCCTGACCCCAGCAATCCGGAAAGCCCGGTTCACAGGCCCCCACCCCCCCCATAGAGCCAAGGCCAGAGGTCACGCAGCTTGCATTAAAGTCCCAGCCGGGTCGAGCACCTTTGGCACCCCCATTTCAACTGTGACTGACCCCCCCCTGTTTCTGAATGTGCTCCCAAGGCCAGGCTGACCCCTCCCCCCCCCCGCTGTGCTCTGCCTCTACAATATGTCCCCCCAGAGGGGACACCCCCCCTGAATTCTATTTGGAAAGCCAGCCCGCTGGCCCTCTTCAGGCCCCCCCCTCATCGTGGGCCACAAGCCCTAGCCATCTGGACACCCTTGCCCCCCCCTGGCCCCCTGTGCCTAGGCCTACTGAGTTCACTACTGCTCCCCCCCCGCCAAGCCCACACATTGCCCCAACTCCTCCCTGCTGGTTCTCCCCCCCGAAAAGGGGGTTTCAAGGCGCCCGGCCGCCCCCTTCCTGCAGTTCCCGTTGGAGAGGTGAATGCACTGGCCTCAGGCACCGGCTGGCGGCTCCCACAGCCCAGACCCACCCCTTCCTCCCTGGCCTTGGTTTCTGTGCCCCCCCGGGCTGGCAGCACCCTGCATCCCCCAGGCTCCTTCTGCCTGCCCCCCCCTATCAGCAACAAAGTTGGTTCCCAGGCCTGTACCCCTAGGCCCCCCCCAGACTCCCCAGGCCACCACGAGGTGACCCCTGGACACAGGCCCTGCCTCTTACAGCGGCTGTTCCAAGAGCTAGGAGGGAGCTGGCTGGGGGAAGAGGTGAGATGGGGCAGAGGGGGTCCAGGGAAGAACTTCAGGCCCCCCCACCCTTTGGGCATGCCTAGGGAGGGAGGTGGCTCCCAGACCTGGGCATGACCTGAGGCCACTGGCCACTCTCCTGGGTCTGGGTCCTGCGCTCGCAGATGGGCTGATGGGGGGGGGGGCTGGCCCAGTCCAGATGCTCCCCCCCTTCCCAGGACAAGGGTGGGGTGGGGTGGGAGATTCGGGGTCCCCCCCCCCACGTGCCCCGGTCGCTGGACTCAGCTGCCCCGAGCCGGCGCGGAGGGGGAGGGGGCGCCGAGTGGGGCCGCGCGCGCCGCAGACAAACCCCCCCACAGGTCTCCGCGCTCCAGCCCATCCCCGTCCCTGTCCCCGCCCCCCCCCTCCACGGTGACCGCTTACCTCGGCACGGCCGGGCCCCGGCCCCCCCGGCGCGCCCGGTCCAGCCTGTGCCCGCCGCCCCCGCGCCGGCCCCCCCGGGCGCCCGCGCTCCACGCTCCGCGCCTCGGACCCGGCGCACCCCCCCTCCTCCGCGGCTCCGCGGTCCGCCGGGCCCGGGTAGGCGAGCCCCCCCGGGGGGTTCAGCAGCGGCGGCGGGCGCGGCGGGGG